CCCAGAGCTTGTGGGTTGCCTCATGTACCTGATGACGTGCACACGACCTGGCCTCGCGTACCCTCTCAGCCTCCTGGCTCGCTACGTGGCTCCCGGTAGGCACCGAAAGGTGCACTGGGATGCTGCGAAGAGGGCACTGCGTTACTTGTGCAGTACGTCGGGCATGGGGCTTGTGCTTCAAGGACGGGGTCCAGTTGTTCTCACTGGTCACGCAGACGCCTCCTGGTTTGACGACTCAGCTACGCAGCGGTCGTCACAGGGTTACACCTTCAGCCTTGGTTCCGGCTCTGTTTCCTGGCGGTCTACCCGCTCGTCTTCGGTTCTCAGCTCCAGTTGTGAGGCTGAGATCTACGCAGGGGCCATGGCTCCACAGGAGCTACGCTGGCTCACCTACCTGCTGACTGACTTGGGAGAGCAGCCTCGTTTGCCTCCTGTTTTGTACGTAGACAACAAGGCCATGATTGCCTTGTGTCAGGAGCACAGACTGGAGCACAGAACGAAGCACATCGCTTTGCGATACTTCCTTGCTCGAGAGTTGCAGCAGCGTGGCCAGCTTCGTCTTGCGTACGTGGCCACTAGGGCCAACACTACTGATATATTCACCAAGGCACTTCCGCCTGGTGATCATCAGCGCTTCTCTACTGTGTTAGGCCTTGTGCCTACTTTGCCTCACATGCTTACTGCGTGACTTCGCTTGTACAGTGATCTATATATATACCTGCATGCTTACACTTGCTAGGGTATGATCACTGTATTGTTTGTTCTCGTTTTTATGACTCTGCATGTGAACTGGCCTTGTGGCCCTTTGCTTGTGCTCGGACTGTCTGGTGACTTTGTGATCCACCTTGAGCTTGCTTTGCTTTTCTTGACTGGTCTTGTGACCGCTTGTTCTCCCCCACTTTGCCTATGGGTGTGTTGTCAAACTTATATATAGCTTACATTGTGTAGGCTGTAGTGGGTTAGTCCATAAGGGGTACAACCCAATCACTGTTAGTACTTGTACCCAACTTCTGTTCAATGCATCTATTCTCGTCTCTGGTCTACCCAGGTCTTTGCCTCACCTCCCGCCCTCACCTGCCCCGACCTGCCTTCCTTGCGTCAAGGGGGCGGCAGCGTGCCGCTCCTCACTCCCTCTTCGTTTCCCCTGACAACTGATCCCCTGTAGACTCTCCACATGGACGTGTGGGGCCCAGCCCGTGCAGTGGACAGGGCCGCGAGCGCTACTTTTTGCTGGTCTTTGACGACTACACGCGGTACACCATGGTCTTCCCCTTGCGTAGCAAGGGTGAGGTCGTTGCTGTCTTGATCCCTTGGATCCGCACAGTCCGTCTCCAGCTTCACGAGCGCTTCGGTACGGACCTTCTTGTCCTACGTCTGCACTCTGACAGAGGTGGTGAGTTCTCCTCCGACCTCTTGCGGGACTTTTGTCGTGGGGAGGGCATTCTCTAGTCGTTCACGCTTCCGGACTCCCCTCAGCAAAATGGGATTGCTGAGCGCCGCATTGGCTTAGTCATTGAAGGTCTTTACCTTCACTCCTGGAGGTGAGCGTGTGGCGATCTGTTCGGATTCACGCACTAGCGAGCACCTCGCCACGTTCACTCGGAGGCCTGTGTCTAGCCTACACACACTGACCACTGAGTTGGCACAGGTGGCTGAGTCAGGTCAGGTGGCTGCCTCGGGTCAGTTAGCTGCGTCTTGTTCATGTCGGCTACTCTTGCACCAGACTCTCCTCTGGCACCACCATCTTGGTCACCCCTCCTTGCCACGCCTACGTGGCATGCACTCGCATCTCCTTGTCTCTGGCCTCCCCAGGTCCCTGCCCCCACTCCCGCGCTCGCTTGCACCGCCGTGCCTTCCCTCGCACCTCCATGATCCATGCGGCCGCTCCCCATTTTCTGTGGCCGTTTGCGGTCCGATACGTCGCGCATCAGCTCAACCTCTGGCCCCGTGTCTCTGTGCCAGAGACCTCGCCTACACTGCGTTGGACGGGGGAGGTTGGCGATGCGTCAGCGTTTCGGGTCTGGGGCGCGCTCTCCCTTGTCCGCGATACCACAGCGGGCAAGCTCTCCCCTCGTACTCTCCGCTGCGTCTTCCTTGGCTTCCCCACCGACGCCCCGCCCTGGCAGTTTTACCACCCTGCCTTGCACCGCGTTCTGTCCTCACAAGACGTCACCTTTGACGAGTCGGTCTGCTTCTACTATCTCCACCCACACGTGTCTTCCCCACTCCCCGCTGCCCCTCCTCTTGGTCCCAGGTCCCCCCCCGGTAGACCCCCTCCCCCCACAGGGTCCTGCTCCCTCAGGTGTGTCTCAGGTCGACCCACCCCCCTTGGTTGAGCCTTTGGAGGTCTCTTTTGACACCTCCGGCCCAGCTGAGGGGGGTGACCCCGCTGCTGACGACACGGCGGCTACTCGCCGCTCCCCGCGCTTGGAGACCCCTCCTGGTTTTCCACCTCGGCCATCTTCGCCGCCTCCGCAGCCTGTCGGTGTGGACTCTTGTGCTGCTGGGGGTGGTGACACTGGGGGTGCGGACTCTGGAAGTGCTGGTCCTGAGGTTGGTGACTCTAGAGGTGCTGGTTCTGGGGGTCATGAGTCTGGGGGTGCTGGTTCTGAGGGTGCCAGTTTTGGGGGTGCCGCGAGTCCCAGTGGTGGTGGAGTCGTGTTTGCTCCTGCTGGGAGTTCTGGCGTTGGACAGTAGCGGCAGTCTAGTCGACAGGAGACCCTCTCGCCACAGCAGCTTCGCGACTGGGTTATTCGGCGGGGCCGGTTTCCTGGAGCTTGGAGTTCTGGTGCTGGAGGTGCTGTAGGTACTGGAGCTGCTGGTACCAGAGGTACTGGAGCTGCTGGTGCTGGAGGTGCTAGACCTGGAGGTGCTGGAGGTACTGGGGCTGCTGGTATTGGAGGTACTAGAGCTGGAGTTGCTGGAGCTGGAGGTACTGGAGCTGCTGGTGCTGGAGGTGTCTTATAATCAGGAACACCCATTTATAAGAGACACCCGTTTTAAAGACACCCCATGTCTTATATTCAACACTGTCTTATATCCGGGTGATGACGGTATCTTTAGCCCAGGGTTTAAGAAATCTCTTACACTACCGTATGCCCCGAGTGTTTTCAAAGGGTGCTGAGCGGATCAACGGCAAATATAATATAAGGGGGATGTAACAACATAAGTTTATATCATAGGGCGGTAGGGTGGCCCTGTCGTGAGATTTAGGTTTGATACCAAGTCATGGATTTGAAGATAAGGGGTATTAGAGGAAGAGAAGGTTACAGATGGTCAACTGGTACTTTTCTGGAGGTTTAGGTAGGGTTGTCATACAGGCAAACTATTCTAGGGCACACAAATTGTACTCGAACCTACAGTATCTGAGCATGTTCGCCCATTGTACTCGTAGAACTTCGCAAGAGTTCCAGGTTTCCCTCCTGGTTTTCCTCCACCATAGAAGTTTAAAACACCCGGGCATGCCATGTTAGGTGACACCAGCTTGAGCCTTCCCTTCTTGCAGCTGTGATCACTGAAAGAATCATAATCTGCCTTTAGGCAAACCTGAGATAGCAGGTGCAAGCACAGTGCAGGGGGAAGTGAGAAATCTCAAGAAGGATGACACACTGCATAGATTACACACCTATATGTATCCGATTCCCTCTAAATGCTCTGGTTCCCCAAATCTCACCTGCACGCTCGTCTTGCTGGCAGCAGTGGCGGTGGAAGGAGGGGTGGTGCGGGGGCAAATGAGGCCTGGTTTGTTGCGGTAGAGCTCAACCCAGCTGGCTGCAGTCACCACCCCTGTCCCCGCGGACCCACCCTCGCCAGACTCCATGCTCTTCAGCATCAGGCCCTCACATGTATCTTGTGCTGTAAGCATGCCATACTGCAAGCACTGAGGGACGGTATAGGCCATGCTGGCATCACGCTCGAGGCACAGAGAGCGGCCTGCCTTGATGGGCTCGGAGCAGTTCAGGCTAGGATTGAGAGCCTCAAGGTCAGCCACACTGAGTTTTAGCTGGGTGGAGATAGACGAACACTCATCACCCTGGAAGGTTGAGTGAAGGGAGGGAAGGCAAATGATGGATTGCTGAAGAGATTCACAGATGAAGATTAGCTGGATTCGAAATGCATCATTTACATGATTAAATCTTGCACGAGTGCTAAACTAAGCTGCTGATTGCCAGAAGTCATGGTCCTAAGTAACGAGGGGAAGGAGGGGAGCGGAAAGAGGGTGGAGATTGGTGCTGACATAAGAAACATAAGGCTGATAGATAAATACGAGCATTAGTAGGTCAGCGCCCGGCTCTCTGGAATCTTGGGCTCACCTCGATTGTATAGATGAAGGCAGTGCAGGGTTTGGGGGAGCTGCTGCCCAGTTGAATCACCTTGCCTGGAGGCAAAGGCTGGCTGCAGTCAAGTGGCTGCATTCAGAAGCACATGCATAGCATCATGGAATTCTGCATGAGCAACGAGGCAATGCCTGATTGGTTGTCATGGTACCGGTGCCGTCACCCAACTGCAAGAAAAGCTTCAGTTTGTTGGACTCCACACCCCATTGGACTCCACAACCCACAAAACAAACTTGTCCGTACTCTCGTAAGTGCTGCCTCCTCCACCACCTGTTCTTCTGTACAACCGCTTCAGCCTCTTACCGTGCTTTGCAGTGAGCCAGATAATATTGCGATGCCAGCAGCAGATGCGAGGCCAGCAGCAGGGAAAACATCAGAGCACAGCCAGTTGGAATCAAAGTGGTGGCTGTGGTGTTGACTGCGGGCAGGAGAGAAGGAGAGAAAGTGGAGAGGAACACAGATTAGGCTGTTGCATTGTCATACCTCACGCTGGGCAAGGTGTGCCTGAAGAAGGGGCAAAAAGGGACATGTCAAACCGTACAAAAGACATCGCTGTAATAAACGATATATATATACTTATATGCTTATATATTTGCAGCACCTGGGTCGCAGGCGGCAAGATGATGATTTTTGATTGGACTCAAAAGTAATTTGTGAATGATGCTAAGTAGCAGCACCTGGGTCGCAGGTGGGGACGCTGTCGATGGTTGTGCTGCTGATGTAGTTGGGAGGGCAGATGCAGGAGTAGGCGCCCTTGCCATCGTTGATGCATGTGCCCGCGCCACAAGGGTTCGTAGGGTAAGAGCTGCAGACGTCAACTGTTGGGTGGACAGAGGGGAGGACATGGGTGGTGGAACGTGTATGATAAGGGGAAACACAGTGTTATGTCCATGATAGACAGGGTGAACTACCACAACACTTCCATCAATGCATCTGTATCTTACAGGAGAGCAGCAAGAGAAGAGCACCACGTTTCTTCAGGGATGGGTCCTCAATACACTTTTGGGCGTAGAATATGGCGCACTCACCATATGCACATGTGTTGGAGCCCAATCCATTAGCGACCTCAACGAACGGCTGATTGGCCTCGCCAGGAATGGTGCAGTCGCAGGTGTTGCTCTCGGTCTTTGCGTTTGGCTTGCATGTCAAGCGACCGCACGGGTTCATGCTTGGCTGTAGGTCCTCGTCGCCCTTGAAGCTCATTTTCCCGCAAGGATCCATGGCAACTAGAGGGGTGGTGGTGGGGAGAGGGTAGAGGAAGAATTATGAGTCAACTAAAAAATAAACTCGCCCTTGAAGCTGTTCTGCCCGCAACGCAAGGATCCATGGCAACTGGAGGGGTGGTGGAGGGAGGGTAGTGGTATTAGTGTAAGCAGTGGGACGGGAGCATGGAAGAGATCTCTTTCTTGCAGTGATTGCCAATGAAAACACACAAGTACACACACACACACACAAGAATTCGTACAAATATTATTTCAGTCCAGTATCCGCAGGAAGGCAGATGCTGATGCTTCACTCTTGACATTGGGTTAGACGCCTCACTCTTGACAATAAGGTAGACGCCTCACTCTTGACAACAAGGTAGACGCCTCACTTTTGACAATAAGGTAGATTTGTCACTTTTGACAATAAGGTAGATGTCTCACTTTTGACAACGGGGTAGATGCCAGGCAGCACGTTGACGCCACACACCCCATCCCCTCCCTGAATGTCCATGCGCATATGTCCCTTGTCGCCCCACGCGGCTCCCCATGAGTTGCGGATGATCCAAAATGGAGGAGGTGTCGAACTTTGTTGGCCCTCTTTTGTTGAAATGAGGTACCCAACAACGAGTACAGCATGGTTCAGGTTGCCAGTGTAGCAGGCAGGATCTTGATACTTGAAGCTCTGAGGAAAAGTGAGAGATAGATGAAGGGACAACCACATGGAAGGTAGATATAGAGACATGAGGGATGACCCTGCGTGTATCGGCTCAAAGTGGCATTTGTAATGACAAGTACAGCAGTAAATGACTAACTGTTTGTTGGTATTATAAGAACAGTTAGATAATAAGTAAGCTCACACCACACTGTCACATGAAAAAACAAACACAAGTACATACACCGTCATATTGTGTCAACGTGGAAATAGAAGCCTCAATCTGAACCACCACTGGCTGGCGCTTCACTGCCAGCATGAGCCCCACATACCCCTTGAACCGCGTCCGCTCAAACGCTTGAACGGGGTATTTCAATATCTGCAGCAGGTCACAAGCATATGGGAAGCATTGGGAGATGAATATATGAAACCACCACAGCCAGTCAGGAGAGGGCGGGAGAAGAGGGTAAGGTGGGAAGGGCTAGAGAAAACTTTTTGAGGTACAGCATATGATTATTTCTGCCTGTCATGAGAAAACTTTTTGAGGCGCCTCAAAATACACCTCACTGCACGCGGTGAGGTACAAGATATGATTATCTCCTTATTATTTCTGTCTGTCATGAGAAAACTTGGATGCAAGCTGGATGACCTACCTGGGAAGATAAAAAAACAAGAGACTATTGTACTGAATGGATGGACTTTTGTGTCTCCTTATTTATGAGGTCAGCACGTCTGTTATCATGTTAAAATACTCCTGTACCATGCTGATCTGCCGGGTTGCATTGGTCTCTTGAATGGATGTTTAAGTATCCCTTTTGAGGTTGCAAATACCATGATGGTGGCTGCATTGCCCTTCTGGGTTGCATTAGTGGTTTCTAAGATGAATTCCACTCCTACCGTCGTGGTGCTGGCGAGTCCTCCACGTGGCAGAGCCATGAGCTTTTTGAAGGCAACAGTAGGGGAGTTCCCTGTGGTGCACTGGGCAGCTCGGGTCTTGAGCCCCATGATTGTAAAGAGCGAGTCCACTGACAGCCGCGGAACTTTTTGGTTCTGCGCAATGCCGTATGCTGCTTCGACACTCGCCACCACCGCATACGCCCAGCTTGCACCTGAAACGGACCGTGTCAGAAGGAGATGCGCCACAAACGTTGAAGAGATCGAAGCAAGCGGCTTATCATAAGGTGCACGAAATAATAAGGCGCTTCTCGTAAGGTGAATAAAGCGCTTAGTATTATCAAGCAACATCGCCATAAATCACAAACAAACAAGCTGGTCCATCCATCCACCAGCGGAGTCCTCTTGATCCAGGCACAAAAGCACAAAGCACGAGTATTCAAGACCACAAGGCACGAGCACCACAGACAACGAGAATGCCACTAAATCTATACCCAATTCTGCTTCCCCAGGCCCACTCACTGCAGTCCTTCTGGTTCTTGACAGGCCAAGCAAGGAAGGGCATGGAGTCCCAGGAGTGGGAGCTGCTGACGCGCCATCCATCGGGCTGGCTGGGAGACACTTGGTAGTCTGCACTCATGTAGCGCGTGAAGGGGCTCGCTCCCGGTGGCGCATACGACGATGCAGAGAGAGTCAGGCCGAAGGCTGGGCAGGCCAACGTGGGTGTGGGCAGAGCGCGGAGTTGAATGAGGGATGTGGGTGTGTGCAAAGGTCTGGGTGTGCTGTTCTTTGCACCAGATAGCAATTATAAAGAAACATAGAGAGCAAGAATACGGAGAGTTAGACATGAGCAAAAATTCGAACCCCTGTTCGGTTCGACTCGAAAGTGTTCGACTCGAACGTGTTCGAATGGTTTTTTTGCCCAAAATAGTTCGTGACGAACACCAAGGTGTGCGTCACAAACACGTTCGACTGTTCGAGTGTTCGTGTGCAGAAAAATCACGAACACCTAGGTGTTCGCGAACACAATGTGTTCGTCGCAAACACCTAGGTGTTCGTGCATTTTTATGCATGTCAAAGTCTGACGCGCTGGTTGGATCTAAAAGGGGAGGGCGACGATTTAGCTCAAGAATGAGCTCAATCGTCGATATAGCCTAAGGATGGCATTCCGCCCCCTACCCACTTAAACTAACACATTCCCACGATTAAAATTCCACTTTGTGGCTGGAAACGTTAGGTATAAGGTTGGATTAGAGTAGGAGACGGTTAAAAAAAGGAACTAAGGGCATCACGATTTAGGTTGGAGTTTAGCAAGGCAAAATTGGATATCCACCAGATCTGCATCAAGCCTAACTATATCTCTTGTAGGGCTATAGGGAACGTGACATTGCTTCTAGTACACACGCCTTGCCTGAATGTGACTATACTGAAAGAACCCCCCAAGGCAAACTGTTCGAGTTCGGGTCAAACACCTTAGTGTTCGGCCTTACCTCAAAACTGTTCGACCCTATACTCGAACGGGGAACACTAACATTTAGGAAAACTGTTCGAGTCAAACGTGTTCGGTTCGCTCGTTGCTCATGTCTACGGAGAGTGACATAAAAGTAATGAAAAGAAGTAAAACTTTTTATATTTGATGCAGAGGTAATTTGGGTTGTTTACCTGGAGTAATGCCTGGCTTCTGTGGATCAGGGAGAACTGCACGAAGGGGCACACATGCGGGACACACAGATAGAGACATGGCAGGCAGATGGTGTTCAGATTAGAATCTACTGAAAGCATAGTTCAGCACACTCAAGTGTTGCGTCCTATTCATAAAATTGTATGTGACAAAAATTAACTAACTAGCTGTACCACCACCACCACCACCACCACCACCACCACCACCACCACCACCACCACCACCACCACCACCACCACCACCACCACCACCACCACCACCACCACCACCACCACCACCACCACCACCACCACCACCACCACCACCACCACCACCACCACGGCTGCCGCTGCCACCAGCGCCGTTGTCAACATAGTACAGTAGCAAAATCAGCAGCATTAGCAAGCCCTCACCTGTTTGCACCGCAGATTGAAAAATGGCATGCATCTGGAACGGCTTCACAGTGGTGGACGCCACAAAGCCAAAGAAGAACGCCTTCTGATCTGCACCAGCCTGCAGCACCTCACACAACGACATCTTCTTCACTAACAGCGGCTTCTCTGGCTTCATTACCGATCCAGCTAGGAACACCTGGATGGTGCCGGGTTCCCCAGGCACATAGTCCACCCATGCCGTGTATGCCTTCTTGTTGTTCAGAGGAAACGGTGCCTTCACAGCAGCTAGCGAAGTCTCTTGGCCTTAAGCGTCCAACCCCACATGCTGAGTGCCCATATCCCCCAGCTCCTGGTCCTGGAAGGTATCGAATTCAACTGCTATGCTCCGCTCGTCCATTCCATCGTACCCCACACCAGCCCCGGTCCCCACCCGGTCCGTTGCCGAGACGACGAAGGCAAATCCATTGTTGCCACCACGGCCAGATCAAGTCGACATGGAGAAGGTGAAATTGACATGGAATGCCAACTGCATTCCACACCCTGTCGCTGCCATCCCTGCCTCGTACAAGAACAGAGGCACTGGAGCTGTAGTGAAAGCCCCCTTGATTTCCTTGAGCGTCCACTTGGTCGGAACGGTTGCTTGTGGAAGAATAGGTTGGGTGACTGTAGAGCTTCCAATGTCGTCTGGAGTCATGGAGGAAGGATGAAAGGGAACATGAGAAGGAACATGATATGTAATCGTACCGAGCGATGTTGAAGTGAGTTTTTTTTCAGCGATGTAAAGCACAGGGTGCGCAAACAGTGACAAGGGTGGGATGGGACGGAGGCGGTATATTGCTGTGCGCAACGCTTTCAACACAGTAACGAGACACACTATCTTGCCCCACTTAACTATTTCTCCTAATTTCATGTTCTCTTCATGCAGAGAGGAGGGAAAGGAGGGGGGGTGGGTGGGTGGGGGTTCTTCTCACCTTTTGCAACACAGGTGTTGATTGCAGACTTGATGAACCCCGCATCGCAAGAGCAGCTCGGAATCATACTGGCCCTGTTTGGTACGCAAATTCCATTACCACCACAAGCAGCAGTGGTATCACCAGCAGCAGCACCACCTGCTCCACTAGCAGCAGCACTTGCACCAGCAGGGGGCGAAGGTGCAACAGAGGAGACGTTGCAGAATGTATTGCATGCTGCTTCCTGCCGCTGCACCACCTTGGAACAGCCAGGAGGCAGTGTGAAGCAGTTGGCATCGAAGTTGCGAGCCTGGCATGCCCTCTCGGGCAGAGGGCCCGAGAGGAAGTTGTTGGAGAGACGCAGGGTGGCGATGGCTGGCAATTCCATCGGGCCTGCGAGGTAGTTGCGGGAGAGGTCGCTGGGAGAAGAAGGGAAAGTGGGTGTGTGTGTGGGGGGGAGAGGAGAGAAGTGGGGGAAGGGGGAGGGAAAGAGATCATGTCTACTGTGGGCGAGGGCTGCAAGTTTGGGAGAGAGGAGGATGAACTACTACAGAACAGAGGAGTGATGAAAGAAGTCATGAGATGGTTGCAGAGAGGTTGCTTGGAGAAAAAGAGTGGGTGTTGGGGGCATGTAGCGAGGGCGAGGGAAAGAGAGCATGTAAAAAAATGGGTGAGGGATAAGAGTTGTGAGACGTCAGGAGGATACTATTCAGCGAAGTGATGAAATTAGCTGTCTATGAATCAAAGTATGAGTTAAAAAATGGCAGTGCGGCTTACAGGAAAGTGAGCTGTGTTGTTAGCTGTATTAACTATGTTAACTAGGAAAAGATTATTGAGGTGCCTCAAAAGGGGGAGTGTGGCTTACAGGAAGGTGAGCTGTGTGAGCTTGGAGAAGCTGCCAGGAATGCGGCCGTACAGCTGGTTAGAGGCCAGCGACCTGATGATGTCAATAGTGGTGGTGGAAGCAAGCAGACAGCCGTGTTGAAAATACTTGCAGGAGGCTCTAGGGGTGAGTGAGGTGAGAAGAGAATCTTCAATAAGGAGCTCGATGACACTTTATGGGAAAGGAGTATGTGCGTGTGCACTGTGGCTAGGTGATGATCGTCAGCAAGAGAGTGCTTCCTTCACGAGGACATTATGAGAAGTTTGTATGGCGTGGGTCAGCTTACAGATAAACCAGCTGAGAAAGCTCCCCGATGGTCTCAAGAACTGTTCCTTCTAGAAGGTTACGCTGCAAGTCGCTGCAGTAATTGTGAATGGAATGAGTGGGATAGAAGAAGATGAATGAATGTCCCGGCAAGACAATTTTTTCCTCTCTTCTTTCTGGAAGAGAGAAGCGGATATTAGGCAAATCATGGGGGCTCAATGTGAGAAGAAGTACACTTCTCATCACAGCAGATGAAGTGATGAGAGACACACAGCATATAGGCTGGGTAGGTATAGAACATTACATGACAGATAAGCTGGTGAGATTGCTGATGGAGTCAGGGATTCGTCCGGAGAGCTGGTTGCGAGACAATGAGCTGAATCAAAGGTAGAACACGATTGAGGAGACAGGAAAGAAAAAACAATCATCGGTAAGATCAAGTTTTTCGTTGGTTCATTTCTTGCAATGCCTGGTGACGTCATCACGTGAACTATGGTTGAGGTGAGGGGAGAATGAGAGGAGACATGTGAAGCACACGAAACGGATATACCAGGGTGACACACAGGGCTGCCAAGGCCGAGAGGGAGCTTATGCCAATGAAGCAATTGTTGTCAGCGATATTTGAAAAAAATCAAGAACCAGCACAGCACACGTGACATACAGGACTGCCAGGTCTGAGAGGAAGCTTATGTTGGATGGAATTTGTCCAGTAAGGCGGTTATTGTCAAGAGCCCTGAAGAGAGGTGGGGATAGTAAAGTGCAATATGCAGGGAGATACGGTTAAACCGGAACGGACACAGATTGGGTAAGCAAAGCTTAAATGTCCCAGCACAAGAAGCAGCACCCAGCATTGCTAAACGGGCTTAAGTATGTGGACTAGTAGACTCTACACAAGCAGGGCTTAAGTATTTCTCGCAGAGCTAATATGCTAGGCGTCAATAAAAAGCGAAGGGGTTGGTACAACTTGGAAGACAGAAAGCATCAGCATCAGAACGCATCTATTGTGAATACTAAAAAACGATAATAATTTTAAGCCCTGACTTGAAGAGATGAAGGGTATGGAAAACAAAAGAGCGCACATATACTGTACAGGGCAGGCAGGCAGGCAGGCAGGCAGGCAGGCAGGCAGGCAGGCAGGCAGGCAGGCAGGCAGGCAGGCAGGCAGGCAGGCAGCTTACAAGCTTGTGAGTGCTGTAAGATCCGTTAGGAAGGAGGGCATGGTCCCTGCCAGCTTGTTGGAGTGTAGATAGCTGTAGTAAGCAGGGGAAGGCGGGGGTTCAGCAGGATGGCATGACATGAGTTCAATCAACACAGCGATGCATTACTCGTTACAAGATCGCCAGTCAGGTTTGCAGCAACAGCAGCCGATGACTCCTGTTTCAGTTTTAAGAAGACCTCAACTGCTGTCGCTGTCCTGAATTTGCAGCCAAGTCGTGTTCTACGTAAATACACCCTTAGCACTGCATGTGAATGAAACTTACAGGGATTTCAATAGGTTGAGTCCTTCCAAGGTTGCAGGGATGTTGCCAGAAAGCTTGTTGCCCGAAAGATCACTGGGAGAAAGGCGTGAAGGGCAGAGGAAGAACGAAAGGGAAGGAAGTGAGGCGAGCACGAGTGAGTGATCGGACAGCAATAACAGGTTTAGGTGTCGATGAAGCAGGAAAGGGAAGGGATGGAAAGGGTGGGCAAGGAGGAAGTAAATCACTTACAGTCTGGTGAGGGCGACCATGTCACCAATCTCGTCAGGAATGGGACCAGACAGTTGATTGCCGCTCAAGTCGCTGGGGGAACAGTACAGCACAGAGGTGGGATGGAGGGTGGACAGGGAAGGGAAGAATTGAGGAAGTCGTGGTAGTGAATGAAAGGCTCTTTAGAACTAGCAAGTAAAGCAGCTGTGGCTTATCGTGGGTGTGATTGAAGTGTCGGTGGAAAGGCATAAAAGCAGCAGCAGCAGCAGCCTGCGGCGAAGGCAGCTGCAATGGCAGATTCACAGTGGCAGCGCGGCACCCACAGAGTATCCACATCGCTCAGCAAGGCAATAGAGGGGGGGATGGATCCCGAGAATGTGTTGGATTGAAGGCCCCTGCAGTAGCATGGGAGGGCAGCAAAGTAACAGAACAGAGAGAAATATCAGATCTAAGGGGGGAAGCAGGTGCGCCAGATTAGAATGAGGGTTTCAAAACATCGGCTTTTTGAAGAAACAGTGTGTGGCTTACAGATTTGTAAGGCTGGTGAGGGAGGTGAGGAACTCAGGGATTGGTCCCCAAATATTGTTGTGACCGAGGGACCTGGTGGTTGTGTTTGAGAAGCACAGCCGATGGTGAGTCGTAACTCTGGGTGCGAACGGATGGTGTGACAGGTGAGGGTAGAAGCAAGAAGACCCAAAACGGCGAGTCGGAGACTCTAGACCAGCTAAGCCTAGACTCTCAATGTAATGGCTGAAATGGAGGAGAAGGGAGAGAGAGCATTGAGCAACCGAAGAGGTGTCTTACAGAGCGACCAATCTTGCGAGAGAGTCAATGCCACCAGCAGATATTTGGGCTGTGAACTTCTTCGTGCTTGATATCCCCCTGAAATAGAATGGCAAAGGCGAGAGCAAGTCCAAAGGCTAAGGGATTGCAGTGCAGATCAAAACCACAGAAGAAGAGGTGGTTAGAGCGAGGAAGGAGAAGGGACGAGACGAGGCATTTGGGGAGCTCAAGAGAAATGGAACAATGGGTTTAGGCTTCCTTAAGCTGAGTCTAGGTATGAGCACGGTTCTGTTCGGGACAGAGCCAGCTTGCGATGATTTTTGGGGAGGCAGGCTTTTTGCAAGCCAAATCTAAAGCTGCCCTGGCTCTGTATGTGCCACTGGCATCTGGAAACATGACTATGACACATGCTGTTGCTCATGGAGCTGCTAAGATCACCCACAGATCCTAGAAGGGCTTAGGTTTTGCTTTGGGGGTTATGGGTATGATGATTGAAGGACTTTAGGTGTTTCTAATCTATTCAGTTACCAGGTTGATGTTCACTCATCCTGTGCAAATCTACAACTTGTGATGTGAGCAATAGGCTGAAAAAAATAACCTTCGTAGGGTGCTGTGGTCACCTGTAGTAGGGATGAGCAAGGGGCGAACACGAACATGTTCGTGTTCGCCCCTAGACGAACACATCCATTTGCCAAACCGAACACTGTTCGGTTCGGCGAACACGTTAAGCAAAAACACGTGTTCGCCGTTCGCCTGTGAAGGCATGTTCGGGCGAACATCGAACACGTTCGTGTTCGTCGCGAATGCAATGCAGGTGAGAGATGTTTGCCCGAATACTCTTTGTGCGCATATATTTTCATGCAGCTTGATGTTGTGTATTTCAACGACCACGTGCATGTGTCTATCTCACTCACATGAGAGGGGCTTTGCTGAGTGCACTCGAGGTGACAGGAATGCTGCCTGTAAACTGGTTGTTTGTAAGGTCTCTGTAAGTGATCATGAGAGAGAGAGCACCAGATTTCAGGCATAAGACACATGTGAGACAGAGAGACACAATCGTTATAAGAGAATGAAGAGACGGTGCAGGAGAAAAGAGCAGCAGGCATATGATGGTGAACCACCACAATATGAAGAAACATGGAGAGAGAGCAGAAGAAGAAATGCCATCATGCAAGTGATTTAGAATGGCCAGTGGACTGTTGAATGCTGATGCTGATGCTGCATGCATTCAGGGGACACATCACAGCACAGGACAGCAAGCCACTACTGAACTAAAGGAAGACAGCGTGTGGATCAGCCGCAAAGAACATCAGAACAGAGTGGATTGGTGCCAGAAGAATGCATAAGTCGGTAAGTAACCCATCCTCAGGCCCGAAAGAAGCATGAGGGACGGAGAATGAAGAGGAGAAAAAATGGGTGTGGATGGAAAAAGGATGAGTGGGGTAGGCAAGGGAAAGGTTGCAAGGACTTGTGATGGAGGAGGGTGACTGACGGTTTGGTGAAGGCGGTCAAGGAACCAATCTCCTTGGAAATGGGACCAGACAGCTGGTTGGAGCTCAGATCGCTGGGGGAACACCAGAGGCATTCGGGTGGAGGGGAGGTTAGACAGCAGTGAATGTGGGACGGAGGTAGTATTTAAGTTTAAGAAGCCTGCGAAATGGACGAGTGCAAGAAAAAAAAATCACGATTAACATGGGTTCGGGTATGGTGATGTGGTGCCTAGAGTCTTAGCAGCAGTAGAGAGGCACAGCAGCAACAGTGGTAGACTGGCAGTGGCAGCACGGCACCCACAGTGTATCGAGATTGACCAGCAAGGAAATGGAGGGAGGGATGGATCCCGAAAGGTTGTTGTGATGAAGGCCCCTGCAGTAGCATGGGAGAGCGGCAAAGAGATGACAGGAATAAGTTGCAAGGTAGGCAGGGGGAAAATTAGTGTGTACTGGATCGTGACATGAGCAAGTGCCCGAGGCAAGGCAACGAATATTCAGAGCGGATTTGAGAACACGTCGCCTAGATGCTCGACCAAAAGCTCGCCTTTTTTGTTCCCCAAGGCGAGTCTCATTTTACTCAAAACAAGGAACGTTCGCCTCGCCTCCCACCCCCCCCCCCCCCCCCCCCCGTTCCCCCCCCTTCCTCCCCTCCCCCCCGTCCCCCCACCCCTTTCCCCCACGTCCCCGCCCTTCCTACCCTCGATACTCTTCTTGATTGAGTTGAAAGGCTGAGACAAAACACTAGTCGCCCTAGTGCTAATGTCTACAGGCATAGGGAACAGGTATTAATCTGGGGTTTCTAATCCACTGGTACAAGGAACACTGGGTAAGTGTGGCATACAGTTCTGTAAGGCCAGTGAGAGAGCCGATGGAGGCAGGGATGGGTCCAGAGAGCTGGTTGTATTCGAGGGATCTGGTGGATGGGGGTTCATCCGAATGGGCATTAGGAAGCACAGGCGATAGTTTCTCCGGGTGCCACCGAATGGTGAGATAGGTGAGAGGAGAAGCGAGGAGAGGAGAGGAGAAACGACAAAACTAGAAGAGCTGAGTTGCCACGTACAAGAAATGGACTGGTGAGGGGAGGGGGTGGGGTGGGGGGGGGAAGAAAATGATATGAAATGAGAGATAGCATTGGGCGAGGGCAGAGATGTCTTACAGAGCGACAATTCTTTTGAGTGAGCCAATGTCAGTAGGGATGGGGCCAGTGAGCTCATTGCTGGCCAGCATCCTGAAAGATAACGGCAAAGGCAAAAGAAATCCCAAAGGCAGAAGGTGTGCGATGCAGATCAAGAGTGGGAGAAAAAGAGGTGGTTTGAGAGAGGTAGAAGACGAGGCGAGGCATTTAGAAGGCGAGGCATTTATGGACGAGGAGAGGCAAGAGGATCGGGAAACGGGCTGATGCTAAGCATGAGCATCAAGGACAGAGCTGACTTGCGATCGCCTGGAGGTTCAATATTGGTGAAGGTCGAGGTGGAGCCTGTTTTTCCCAAGCCAGTATTAACATTGCCCTGGTTTGTGATTTGCCACTGGCTACTACAAAACTGACCTCAACATAGGGTCCACACATGCATCTCTCGTTTGGTTCACACATTGTGATGAGCAGATTAGATCTTTGTGTATTGCTGCATGTTGAAAATTCACTTGTTATTTGTATGTGCTTCAGTTGGTACATAAATACAAGCTAAGTGCTGGGTGTGTATCGAATCAATGTAGCGCTGCTATACCACTTGTGTTCGTGTATCTCACTCACAGGTAAGACACTTGGCTGAGCGCACTCAAAGTGGCAGAGATGCTGCCTGAAAGCCGGTTATTTGAGAGGTCCTTGAAAGAGTTCGTGGATGGAAGAATCACAGGCATAAGAGAAAGTGAGAAGGAAAGGAGATGCAAGACAGAGCACCATGACCGGTTCAAGGCAGTTGGGAACAATCCGATTCGGATTCGGCCCATGCTCATGCCAACCTTATAAGGTCGCAGAACCCACGCTCGGTGGGGTCAAACTGGTGATCAAGTCTTCAACCACCCTGCCTCCTCCTCACTAACATGTGTACCCTAATATTTTCTAATAAAACCACAAATTCCAATTGTTAGTTTTCATCCTTCACAGATTCCCACACTGTTGACACTCATGCTACACCCATCCATGGGGCACACACAGGATACGGAAGCAGCAGCTAAGCTGAAGGGAGTCAGTGTGTGCAGCCCCACAGAAGAGCAGTGCTAGATAGGAGGAAAAATGAAACAAATGGTGCCCTGGTGTGAGATCCCAAACAGGCATTTGAAGCAGCAGCAGCGGTTGATTTTGGTATCTGCATGGTTCCACAAACAATCAAGGCTCATCTATGGAGCGTGTTGTGTCCGGCTCACAGGAATTTCATCTGAACGAGTCCATCGAAGGTATCAGGGATGTTGCCGGAAAGCTGGTTATCCGAAATATTACTGGGGGAAAGGCGAGCAGGGCATATTAAGAACGGAAGAAAGGCAAGCATGAGCGAGTGAGGCCCGGAGGATGCATGGGACAAGAATAGGGTGTGCATCAACGAGGAAAGGCAGGGATGGCAAGGAGACGAATGACAAGTAGGCAAGGGCAACGAGGCGCGATGGGGGGGAGAGACTGACAGTTTGGTGAGGGCGACCATGGAACCAATCTCCTTGGGGATGGGACCAGACAGTTGGTTGGAGCTCAGGTCGTTGGGGGAACAACAGAGACAGTGCGGGACAGCAGAGAGTAAGAAAGTAACAGTGCGATTCAAAATGATTCAAAAATAAGAGTTGAAGCTGGTGAGATTGAACTGAGTATTGGGCTGGCTAGATGTGGAAGGTGGAATAGCAGCAGTGGTAGAGAGGCAAAGCAGCAGCAGTGACACACTGGCAGTGGCAGCGCGGTACCCACAGTGCATTGATATACTTCAGCAAGGCAATGGAGGGAGGGATGGCGCCTGAGAGTTTGTTGGAACGAAGCCCCCTGCAGCAGCATGGGAGGGCGGTAAAACAATGCCAAGAGGAGTATTGAGAGCAAATGGGATGGGAAGGGATCAGTGCTAAGTGGTCACCAAATAGAACTTCTGATCCATGTGGTCACCAATGAGGAACACGAATACAAGCTAAATGTTAGGTGCATATCAATGGTGCGTTCGGTTCAATAATTCAGCTACAATTCCAACCGCATGCATGTAGCTCACAAGTAAGTCATCGCGCTGAGTGCACCCAAAATGGAAGGGACGTCTTCAAACTGGTTGTTTGAGAGGTCCCTGGTAAAGATCAGATCATGGGTGGAATGAAGGCATCAGATTGAAGGCATAATAGCAGGTAAGAAGGAGAAACAGGTGAAGGGGAGAAGTCAGGGCAAAGCACGATGGAAGACTAGAAGCAACAAACAAACAACAAGGAGCGAAGAAGAAAAGGGATGTTGGAAATGAAGAATGCATCTTTTGCTTGACTTTAAGTATGTGTACTGGGTGCGTGTTGTAGTTGTGTAATGCTTGCGCTATCATTTCTGATGGCCTATTACAAAATGTAGCCACCTATGGGACCAACGTTTGTTCGGGTTCATCTTCTTGTTAATATCCTACAGTCCTATCCTGAACATGCCCTTTCCTTTGGTAACGGAATCAACTGCACTTTGAATCTTAATCCCACTTGAAAACAAACGATTTTCGCCGCCAAGACCACCTTCCATGGCTCCTACCTGCCTTCACTTTGACGCAGGTTCGCACAATCAATTCTCGGTTGTGACAGGGTGTTGTGTGCAGCTCACAGGAATTCCATTAGTATGAGTGCTCCAAAGGTTGCAGGGATGTTGCCCGAAAGTTGGTTGTCCGAAACATCACTGGGAGAAACGCGTTCGGGGCAGAGGAAAAACGGGAGAGGAAGTGAGGCGAGCACGAGTGAGTGAGACTTCGAGGATGCATGGGACAAGATTCGGGTGTGTATGAACGAGAAAGCCAGGCAACGATGGCAAGAGAAAGGATGCAACGAGGTGTGGTGGAGGGGAGTGACTTACAGTTTGGTGAGGGCGACCATGGAACCAATCTCCTTGGGGATGGGACCAGACAGTTGGTTGGAGCTCAGGTCGCTGGGGGAACAGCAGAGACAGTGGATTCGATAATAGGCAGCAGAGAGAAAAAAAAGTAACAGTGAAATTCAAAACGATTCAAGAATGAATGTTGAAGCTGCTGAGATTAAACAGAGCATCGGGCTGGCTGGGTGTGGAGGGTGGAGTAGCAGCAGTGGTAGAGAGGCACAGCAGCAGCAGTGACAGACTGGCAGTGGCAGCGCAGCACCCACAGTGCATTGATATTTTGCAGCAAGGCAATGGAGGGAGGGATGGCGCCCGAGAGCTTGTTGGAACAAAGCCCCCTGCAGCAGCATGAGAGGGCGGCAAAACATTGCCAAGGGGATTAGTGCCACTAAATTGGATGGGAGGGAACAGTGCCAAATGGTCCTGAACTAGAATTTCTGATCTATGGGCATAGGCTTGAGGAGGAGGGCGAACACCTGTTCGGTTCACCACGAACATGTTCGCGTTCGATTCGCCGCGACTGGCCGAGCCGCGACAAACACAAACACGTTCGTGTTCGCCTGAGGGTGTCAACGAACACAAAAGTGTTCGCCGCCGCGAGCGACCACCATTTTTAGGACACGGGACATTCAGTTTGAGCTCAAACCTTGACGATCCTCCCACCCACAGCCCATACTCCCACCAGCAACACTAAGCACCAGCCTAAACTACACAAATAGGGTAGCGTAATTAGTAGGGAGAATAGATAGGATTTCGGCGAAGGCTTTATAGTGCCATTTGGGGTTTAGGCTAACGGGAATCCACCAACCCCTGCTGAAATCGTAGGCGAATCTAACATTAAAGTCAGAGAAGGGCTGTACACTAGTTAATGTGACTATACCGAGGGCTGTGACAGGCGAGCACGAACATGTTCGTGCTCGCGGCGAACATGAGGGTGTTCGCCCCTAGAGGCGAACAGCGAACACCCTTTTCCCTGAAAGTATTCATGGCAAACAAAATACTGTTCGGTTCCCCCAGGTGACATGTTCGCCCCTAGCGAACACGAACATGTTCGTGTTCGCCCAATGCTCATGCATATATGGGCATCAGGAAAAAGCAACGTGTGCCGTACAGATTTGTAAGGCTGGTCAGGGAGCCGATGGTGTCAGGGATGGCTTGTTGTAAGAGAGGGACCTGGTGGTTGGGGGTTTATCCGACCGGGCAATGGGAAGCACTGGCGATGGTGAGTCGGAGGCAAACGGATGGTGAAATAGGCGAGGGCAGATTCGAAAAGAACAAAAAAGGGGAGACTTTAATCGCATGCTACATGTATGGGACTCACAGTTGGTACACGAATACAAGCTAAATGCGTCCAGTTTAATAGTGCCGCTACAATTCCAGCTGCATGCATGTAGCTCACATGTAAGACATCACGCTGAGTGCACCCAAAGTGGAAGGGACGCCTTCAAGCTGGTTGTTTGAGAGGTCCCTGCAAAAGATCATGGGTGGATTGGAATCATCAGATTGAAGGCATAACAGCAGGTGAGAAGGTAAAACAGGTGAGAGGGAGAAATCAGAGGCACGATGAAAGACTAGTGGTATTTAACAAACAACGAGCGAACAAAAATGGGCGGGAAAATGAAAATCTTGGTGCGGATGAATTGATGTCTCACCCACTCTGGGTGCAAAAGTTTGAAAGTTTGGGTTGGGTTAGGTAGAGGGAGTGGGATTTAGAGCGGTTGGGGGGAGTGCGTGAGCTCGAAAAAATGGGATGCAAAACATCCGTGTTTTGAGCTTGCTGACATTTTGTCATGCAGAAACGTGAAGTGACGAGTTAGAATCTACGATTATGAACCCCTCGCTGTCACGTCGCACAGGGGTCAAGAATGCGACGAGTAAAAATACTCGCGAGTATTTTTTCCCTCGCCAAAACGTTTTTACTCGCTTTTCAAAGAATATTCTAGCCGCACAAGGGGGGACGCCTGTATTAATCTTGAGTTTCCTTGGGGGTTCATAGGGGAGCGGTTTTTTTTGGCATAGATCCGTTTTAGACCATTCTAGGCTTGATAGCTAGCAAATTCACTAATGCTCACATCCCTAGAGGTGGTTGGTAGCAAGTCTGATTTTTTTTTTCTAGCAGAAAAAAATGTCTTTAACAAAAATACGGCCGAAATTTTGAAATCTGACCGTAAAATACGACCGTAAAATACAGATGTTGCAGTACCGGGTGGATGTTTCAGTAGGTTAACGCTCGGATTATCATTTGGGATGGTTCAATTACACATTCTGGTCATTTTTGGACCCAAATTCCGTTTGGGATAACATTCTTTCACATGCCCTATCCTTTGGTTGGGGTTTCACCTGCACTCGGAATCTTTATCCCACTTGACAACAAACTTCCTTCGCCGCCAAGTCAACCTTCCATGGCTCCTAACTGCCTTAACTTTGTGACAGGTTCGCACAATAAATTCTCGGCTGTGACATAGTGATGTGGGCAGCTCACAGGAATCCCATTTGAATGAGTGCTCCAAAGGTTGCAGGGATGTTGCCCGAAAGCTGGTTGTCTGAAAGATCTCTGGGAGAAAGGCGTGCAGGGCAGAGGAAGCACGGAAGGAGAGGAAGTGAGGCTCGGAAGATGCATGGGACAAGAATCGGGTGTGCATAAACGAGGAAAGGAAGGCGGGGATGGCAAGGGAAAGGATGCGAGGTGTGGTGGAGAGAAGTCACTGACAATTTGGTGAGGGCGGCCATGGAACCAATCTCCTTGGGGATGAGACCAGACAGTTGGTTGGAGCTCAGGTCGCTGGGGGAACAGCAGAGAGTGGATTGGATCATGGACATCAGAGAGTAAGAAAGCAACAGTGAGATTCAAGATCACAGACTGAGCATCGGGCTGTCTGGCAGTGGAGGGTGGAGTAGCAGCAGTGGTAGAGACGCACAGTAGCAGCAGTAACAAACTAGCAGTGGCAGTGCGGCACCCACAGTGCATTGATATATTTCAGCAAGGCAATGGAGGGAGGGATGGCGCCCGAGAGATTGTTGGAACAAAGCCCCCTGCAGCAGCATGGGAGGGCGGCAAAACAACACCAAGGAGAGTAGTGCAAGTAAATGGGATGGGAGGGAATTATTGTTAAGGGGTCCCCAATCAGAGTTTCTGAACCATGGGTATCAGGAAAAGTCAAAGTGTTCAAGAGAGCCCCATACAGGAGCCATGACTCGCGTGGCAGCAACTTTTAGCGAACAGTTTTTAGTTTTGGTTTAGTGTAGGCTTGCTTGAAAACCTTTGTGTAAAGAAAGTTGGCGGTAAAAGGGTCCAAAATTTTAAGCCTCTGAACCATAGGTATCAGGAAAAGTCAAAGTGTGGCGTACAGATTTGTAAGGCTGGTGAGGGAGCCGATGGTGTCAGGGATGGGTCCAGAGAGCTCGTTGTAAGAGAGGGACCTGGTGGTTGGGGGTTCATCCGACCGGGCATTGGGAAGCACTGGCGTGGCGATGGTGAGTCGGAGGCAAACGGATGGTGAAATAGGAGAGGGCAGATGCGAGAAGAACGAAAAAAGGGAGACTCTAATCACATGTTACATGTATGGGACTCACAGTTGGTACACGAATACAAGCTATATGTGTCCGGTTCAATAGTGCTGCTACAATTCCAGCTGCATGCATGTAGCTCACAAGTAAGACATCACGCTGAGTGCACCCAAAGTGGAAGGGATGCCTTCAAGCTGGTTTTTTGAGAGGTCCCTGCAAAAGATCATGGGCGGAATGGAGGCATCAGATTGAAGGCATAACAGCCGGAGAGAAGGAGAAACAGATGAGAGGGAGAAATCAGAGAAAAGGGCACGATGGAAGACTAGTAGTAGTAATCAACAGCTATGTTGGAAAATACGCGTATGGCGTGCGTGCGGTACGCGTACGAACTATACGCTACCGTACATACGTGATACGCTGATTTCCAGCGTACAAAAAACCCTGGGATACAGAGTGTTGGGCAGGTAAAAAAACCCCGGGCAGGGGAAAACCACTTTGGTGGAGGTAGTATGATTTAGGGGAAAAGTAGTGCTTATATACTTGCAGATGCAGATAACTCCCTTGGATTTGAAACGACTAGGAACTCTGAAATGTAAGAAAATTCGTTGGCTAGAATTGCCCTGAAATTGCGGCTGCAAATATATGGCAAGTGATGCGACGTTACTCAACTGCTAGCAATTGCAGGTGCGACATTAGCGATCGACATAGTTGTTCAAAGCTAAACTACAAGACAAGAAGAGACTAGAAAAAAAACAAAACGTGTGCGACAAAAGTGAGTAGAAAGGTCTCCCCTAGCTCTTGTACGCACGACGACGTGACGTGAAAGCCCAAGCTGCTTGTTGTTGGGAAGTGATGGGTTCAATTTGGGAGGTGGTGTGAGGTGATGTGCGGTGGATGGGGGGAGAGGGGAAGGCATTCGACTTTCAATTCTCAAAATTTGGTTTCGGAGGATCGCAGATCGCGAAAACGGTGACAACTATTTTTTCCCCATTTTTTCTCGACGAACTGCCCGTGCAAGCGTATAGCGTAATTTGGCCCCGTATCACGTGTTCATATATACATAAACGGATAAACAGGATACTCTACATTGCCTTAGCGTCACTTCCGACATAGATCAACCAACAAGGAGCGGACACAAATGGGAAGTGGGATTTGTGTGTGTGTGTGTGTGTGTGTGTGTGTGTTTGATTTGATGTCTTGATTTGGTGTACTTGGTTGGTGTTGTAGTTGGTTAACGCTCGCATTATCATTTGTGATGACCCTATCAAACATTTTGGTCCATTTGTACCCAAATTCTGTTTGTGTTTATTCTATTCATCGTATCCTATACTGCACATGCCCTAGCCTTAAGTGAGGGAATTACCTGAACTTTGAATCATAATCCTTCTTGACAACAAACTTCTTTCGCCACCAACCTTCCATGGATCCTAACAGCCTTCAATTTGACACAGGTTCGCACAATCAATTCTCGGCTGTGACAGGGTGTTGTGTGCAGCTCACAGGAATTTAATTTGGATGAGTGCTCCAAAATTTGAAGGGATGTTGCCCGAAAGCTGGTTGTCCGAAAGATCACTGGGAGAAAGGCGTGCAGAGCAGAAGAAGAACAGAAGGAGATGTGGCAACTACAAGGAAAGCCAGGCAGGGATGGCAAGAGAAAGGATGCAAGGAGGTGTGGTGGAGGGGAGTGACTGACAGCCTGGTGAGGGCGACCATGGAACCAATCTCCTTGGGGATGGGACCAGACAGTTGGTTGGAGCTCAGGTCGCTGGGGGAACAGCAGAGACAGTGGATTCGATAATGGACAGCAGAGAGAAAGAAAGTAACAGTGAAATTCAAAACAATTCAAGAATGAAAGTTGAAGCTGTTGAGATAAATCCGAGCATCGGGTTGGCTGGCGGTGGAGGGTGGAGTAGCAGCAGTGGTAGAGAGGCACAGCAGCAGCAGTGACGGACTGGCAGAGGTAGCGCGGCACCCACAGTGCATTGATATTTTTCAGCAAGGCAATGGAGGGAGGGATGGCGCCCGAGAGTTTGTTGGAACGAAGGCCCCTGCAGCAGCACAGGAGGGAGGAAAAATGGCGCCAAGACGAGTAGTGCCAGTAAATGCGATGGGAGATAATCAGTGTTAAGTAGTTTCCAATAAGAGTTTCTGATCCATGGGCATCAGGAAATAGCAAAGTGTGGCGTACAGATTTGTAAGGCTGGTGAGGGAGCCGATGGTGTCGGGGATGGGTCCAGAGAGCTCGTTGTAAGAGAGGGACCTGGTGGTTGGGGGTTCATCCGATCGGGCATTGGGAAGAACTGGAGATGGTGAGTCGTAGGCAAAAGGAGGATGAAATAGGCAAGGGGAGAAGCGAGAAGAACTATAAAATGGAGATACACATCGACTGCTACATGTATGGAACTCATAGTTGGTACATGAATGTTTCGTGTATATCAATAGAGCGTCCAATTCAATAATGCAGCTACAATTCCAGCTGCATGCATGTAGCTCACATGTAAGAAATCACGCTGAGTGCACCCAAAGTGGAAGGGACGTCGTCAAGCTGGTTGTTTGAGAGGTCCCTGCAAAAGATAATGGGTGGAATGGAAGCACCAGATTGAAGGCATAACAGCGGGTGAGAAGGAGAAACAGGTAAAAGCGAGAAATCAGGGGGAAACAAAAAATGCACGATGGAAGACTAGTAGTAATGAACAAACAACAAGTGAACAAAAAATGGGAAGTGGAAAAAAAAGAATTCTTTGTGTGTTTGATCTGATGTGTGTTTACTGGGTGGGTGTTGTAGTTAGTTAACGCTCGCTTTATCACTTGGATTCATTTTCTTGTCTTTAATCCTATACTGAACATTCGCCTGCCTTTGGTAAGGGTATCATCAGAACTTTGAATCCAAATCCCGCTTGACAAAAAAAATCTTTCGCGGCCACGGGTGTAAACTCTCTTCACTTTGACACATGTTCGCACACTCAATTCTCGCCCGTGACAGGATGTTGTGTGCAGCTCACAGGAATTCCATTTGGATGAGTGCCCGAAAGGTTGCAGGGATGTTGCCCGAAAGCTGGTTGTCCGAAAGATCACTGGGAGAGGCGTGCAGGGCAGAGGAAGCACGGAAGGAGAGGAAGTGAGGCTTCGAAGATGCATGGGACAAGAATCGGGTGTGCACAAACGATGAAAGGCAGGCAGGGATGGCAAGGGAAAGGATGCGACGAGGAGTGGTGGAGAGAAGTCACTGACAGTTTGGTGAGGGCGACCATGGAACCAATCTCCTTGGGGATGGGACCAGACAATTGGTTGGAGCTCAGGTCGCTGGGGAAACAACAGAAACAGTGGGGGACAGCAGAGAGTAAGAAAGTAACAGCGAGATTCAAAATGATAGAAAAATGAAAGTTGAAGCTCGTGAGATTGAACTGAGTATTGGGCTGGCTAGATGTGGAAGGTGGAATAGCAGCAGTGGTAGAGAGGCAAAGTAGCAGCAGTGACACACTGGCAGTGGCAGCGCGGCGGTACCCACAGTGCATTGATATATTTCAGCAAGGCAATGGAGGGAGGGATGGCGCCTGAGAGTTTGTTGGAACGCAGGCCCCTGCAGCAGCACGGGAGGGCAGCAAAACAATGCCAAGAGGAGTATTGAGAGCAAATGGGATGGGAAGGGATCAGTGCTAAGTGGTCCCCAATTAGAATTTCTGATCCATGCACATGAGAAACACGAATAAAAGCTAAATGTTAGGTGCGTATCAATGGTGCGTCCGGTTCAATAATGCAGCTACAATTCCAGCCGCATGCATGTAGCTCACAAGTAAGTCATCACGCTGAGTGCACCCAAAATGGAAGGGATGTCTTCAAACTGGTTGTTTGAGAGGTCCCTGCAAAAGATCATGGGTGGAATGGAAGTAGGGATGAGCAAAGAACCGAACAGGTTTTGTTTTTCAGCTTAAATTATTCGCCTGAACGTGTTCGAGGTTCGCGCAAACACGTTCGTGTTCGTGGCGCTGCTGCAGAACGCCCCGTGTCGAACACGAACGTGCTCAAGGTTCGCCTGAACACGCCTTCACAGGCGAACGCTGAACACCCTTTCTTGGGGAAGTCGTTCAGCAACCGAACAGTGTTCGGTTCGCCAAACTGCCATGTTCGTGCAAGGGCGAACGCGAACATGTACGCGTTTGCCCTTTGCTCAACCCTAAATGGAAGCATCAAATTGAAGGCATAACAGCAGCAGGTGAGAAGAAGAAACAGGTGAATGGGAGAAGTCAGGGCAAAGCACGATGGAAGACTAGAAGCAAGAAACAAAGAAGGAGAGAAGAAGGAAAGGGATGTCGAAATAAAGAATGCATATTTTATTTGACTTTAATTATGTGTACTGGGTGCGTGTTGTAGTTGGTTAATGGTTGCGCTATCATTTCTGATGGCCTATTACAAAATGTAGCCACCCATGGGCCCAACTTTTGTTAGGGTTCCTTTTCTTGTTCATATCCTACATTCCTATACTGAACATGCCTGTCTATTGGTAACAAAATCACCTGCACTTTGAATCTTAATCCCACTTGACAACAAACGCTTTTCGCCGCCAAGCCAGCCTTCCATGGCTCCTACCTGCCTTCACTTTGACGCAGGTTTGCACAATCAATTCTCGGTTGTGACAGGGTGTTGTGTGCAGCTCACAGGAATTCCATTTGGATGAGTGCTCCAAATGTTGTAGGAATGTTGCCCGAAAGCTGGTTGTCCGAAAGGTCACTGGAAGAAATGTGTGCAGGGCAGAGGAAGAACGAAAGGAGGAGAGGTGGGGTGAGCACGAGTGAGCGAGACTTCGAGGATGCATGGGACAAGAATCGGATGTGCATAAACGAGGACAGGCAGGCAGGGATGGCAAGGGAAAGGATGCGACGAGGTGTGGTGGAGAGAAGTCACTGACAGTTTGGTGAGGGCGACCATGGAACCAATCTCCTTGGGGATGGTACCCGAGAGTTGATTGGAGCTCAGGTCGCTGGGGGAACAGCAGAGACAGTGGATTGGATAATGGACAGCAGAGAGTAAGAAAGTAACAGTGAGATTCGAAAGAATTGAAAGTGAAAGTTGAAGCTGTTGAGTAACAGAGCATTGGGTTGGCTGGTTGTGGAGGGTGGAGTAGCAGCAGTGGTAGAGAGGCACAGAAGCAGCAGTGACAGACTGGCAGTGGCAGCGTGGCACCCACAGGTCATTGATATATTGCAGGAAGGCAATGGAGGGAGGGATGACGCCCGAGAGTTTGTTGGAACGAAGCCCCCTGCAGCAGCAGCATGGGAGGGCGGCAAAACAACACCAAGGGGAGTAGTGAGATTATAAATTCTGATCCATGTACATCAGGATCACGAATACAAGCAAAATGTTAGGTGGCCCGGGATGAGCAAGGGGCGAACACGAACATGTTCGTGTTCGCCCCTAGACGAACACATCCGTTTGCCGAACCGAACACTGTTCGGTTCGGCGAACACTTTAAGCAAAAACACGTGTTCGCCGTTCGCCTGTGAAGGCATGTTCGGGCGAACCTCGAACACGTTCGTGTTCGTCGCGGGGCAAATTGCAGCAGCGGCCCGAACACAAACGTATCTGCTGGCAGTTGCAGCGGAGCCACTGTGGGAGGAAACGCGGAGGAGTGAGGGGCGGCGCGCTGCCGCCCCTCGACGCAAGGGACGTAGGTAGGGGCAGGCCTCGGAGGTAGGGGAGGTAGAGACCGGGGGAGACCAGAGACAAGGACACGGGAGGCCATGCCTCGGAGGCGAGGCAGGGAGGGGTGACCAAGGCGGTGGTGCCAAAGGAGAGTCTGGTGGGACAGGAGACGACACGAGCAGGGAGCAGACTCAGGACCAGACCTGGACGCTGCAGCAAACACCTGACTCGACGCAGCTACCTGACCAGACTCAGTAACCGGAGGAGACTCAGTAGTCAGTGTGTACAGGCTCGACCCCGGTCGACGGGTAAACGTGGCCAAGTGTCGGCCCGTCCGAGCACACGTACAGTGGGTCACCCGCTGACTCGCAGGAGTGAACTGGTCAACCCCCCGATCCTGTAGATCAGCACCACTCACCAAGTTCGTAGAGAACGAGGGGAGGTAGAGACCTGACAGGGTGCGAGAGGGGGCTGCCGGACACAGTAAGACAGTGGAGAAGCTAGCAAGGACGGGACCCCCAGAGGGGTCCGCCAGGGAGACCGCAACCGGCCGACTAAGCGGCGTAAGCGTGGTGCGGTCTCGAAAGAAGGAGCGGGAAGCACCCGAGTCAAGGGTGAAGGTGTGTAAGGCCTGAGCCGACGTGGTACCTGAGAGAGCAGACGCACCAGCACCTAGGGCAGCAGTCTCACCATCTAGAGCAGCAGCCTCAATGCCCGGGTCAGGCGGAACACACAGGTAGCAGTCACCCTCATCACTAGTAGACACAGCATACATGGCAGCAAGAATAGCATCATAATCAAGATCAAAGATAGCAACCCCCGCCCTAGACAGGTCTCCCCAGCGAGGGATCTCAGTGGCGTCAGGGAACTGGTGACGCCACGCGTCCGTCAGGCGGCCGAAGCAGCGCTGGGTGGAGTGAGGGCCCCCGCACTGCTCACCAGTGCGGTCGCCGGTACGGAGGACGTAGGTGCAGGGACCAGCACCTCGCTGACGCCTAGCGTACCACTCACGAAGCTGCTGGGGGGACGGGGTCTCACGACTGCGCTGCTGCTGCTGGCGCGGACCACCATCGGAGCCACTCCTCTGCACAGAGCGGCGACCAGCTCCACCGCTGTCTCCGCCGCCTCCGCTACCTCCGCCGCCTCCGCCACCTCCGCTCCCTCCGCCACCGCTGCCGCCTCCCCCGCCTCCACTGCTGCCACCGACACCTCCACCCCCACCACCACTCCCACCACCACCCCCACCCCCTCCACTGCCCCCACCACCACCTCCACCGCCCCCGCCAGCCCCTCCAACGCCCTTGCCCCCCTTGCCCTTGCCGGGGCGGCGTCTCCCGCTAGGGGCAGACGCAGCGCCGGCCGACTCGAAACCAACGAGGTCGGCCGCAGCAGCAGAAGCAACAGAGGGCAAGAGGGGGGAGGGGGAACACCCCGCAAAGACGGGGGTGCGAGGGTCACCACGAGAGGCTCCTACAGCGACTATGCTCTGCTCTGCTGCTAGGAGGCGCTCCTCGAGGAGGTCAACGGTGAGTGTGGTGGGGCAAACTGAGAGGAAGTGGTCCCTGACTAAGCGAAGGGAGTCAGGGAGCCGGGTGACTATGTAGTAGAGGGTGATGTACATGGGGGGGGGGGTTCCTGGCACAGAACTCAGCAGGAAGCGCAGCGCGGTAGCGAGTGTCGCTAGTGCGAAGGTGCGTAATGAGGTCAGCGACTGTGGGAAAGGCAGCAAGGTCAGGGAACAGGTACGGCAGCATGAGGCGGCTAAGCGCAGCAGTGGCAGGGGAAGAGTAGCGCGCAACTACAGCGTCGTACAAGGTCTGAGCACTCTTGTACTGGCTAAAGTGCGCACGCTCAGTGGTCGGTAAGTGGCGACGCACAGCAAGACGGGCAGCAGCATCGCGTGTGGCCCACTGTGAGCGTACAGTGCTGTCAGCAGTAGTAGGCAGGGCAGGAGAGGCACCAGAGGTGAGATCGAACAGGGAGAGTCCGTCTGCCCTATCGCACTGGAGGAACAACTGGAGGTCATCGACCCAGACCTCAAAGTCAACAGCACGACCCTCAGCATCAAAGGTAAGGACACTGTGGGTAGCCATGACTGCAGTGGCCTAGCAGGGAGTGATCTCACCAGGTCGAGTAAGCAGGGCCGGGGCGCGCAGGACGGCTCGGCGGCAGTGCGGCTGGGCGGCAGGGCGGCTCGGCGGCTCGGCTGCTGGGCGGCTCGGCGGCTCGGCTGCTGGGCGGCTCGGCTGTCGGGCGGCTCGGCGGCTCAGTTGCTGGGCGGCTCGGCGGCTCGGCGGCTCGGCTGCTGGGCGGCTCGGCGGCTCGGTTGCTGGGCGGCTCGACTGTCGGGCGGCTCGGCGGCTCGGTTGCTGGGTGGCTCGGCGGCTCGGCGGCTCGGCTGTTGGGCGGCTCAGCTGCTGGGCGGCGCGGCGGCTTGGTGGCTCGGCTGCGCAGCTGCTGGGCGGCTCAGCGGTGAAGGGGCCGGTAGAGGCGGCGACGAGGCCGGTAGAAGCGGCGACGGGGCCGTTAGGGGCGGCTTCGGGGCTGAGTAGGGGCGGCGACGGGGCCGCTAGGGGCGGCGACGAGGCCGCGTAGGGGGCGGCGACGAGGCCGCGTAGGGGTGGAGACGAGGCCGCGTATGGGCGGCGATGGGGCCGCTAGGGGCTGCGATGAGGCCGCGTAGGGGCGGCGACGAGGCCACGTAGGGGCGGAGACGAGGCCGCATAGGGGCGGTGACGGGGACGCTAGGGGCGGCGACGGGGCCGCAAAGGGGGGGGGGGGCGGCGTCGGGGCCGCGTAGGGGCGGCGACGGGGCCGCGTAGGGAGAGAGGCGGCGACGGGGCCGCTAGGGGCGGCGACGGGGCCGCTAGGGGCGGCGACGGGGCCGCGTAGGGGCGGCGACGGGGTCGCTAGGGGCCGCGAGGGGCCTGGAAGGGCGACAGGGCCGCTAGGGGCGGCACGAGGGGCCGTGAGAGTAGCCTCTAAGGCGCGTAAGGCGCGCCTCGGGCAGGAGCGACTGGCGCTCCGGTCAGAAAAAAAAAAAATATCAGTGGTGGGCCCAATGAAGCGTTCCCACTAGGGAACCTGCTCTATACCATGTGAAGAAATGAGGAATGAATGAACTAGGAAAGAGGTGGGTACAAGTAGGAAAACCTAGAAGTGTTGTACCCCATATTGTCTACCCCACTACAGCCTACACAGACTATAGCATATAAGTTTGACAGGAGGAGTAGGTGAGGCCGCACACCCGCCACCCCCTACTCGCCACCCCCAAACCCTAACACAGGGCAGGGCCGCAGCAGGGGCGGCAGCAGGGCAGGGCCGCAACGGGGGCGGCAGCAGGGCAGGGCCGCGACGAAGACGGGGGCAGGGCCGCGTCGAAGACGGGAGGGGCCGACGCGCCACGGGGCGCACGACGGGCAGGCAGGGCGTCGCGCGCTCTGCAGGGCGGCGCGACTGGCAGAAAACCGCCGCGCGCCACTAGCGCGCGGCGGGAAGAAAAAATGCCGCTCGCGACGAGCGCGCGGCAGGCAGGAAACAGCGCACGCCCGAGGCGCGCGATAGGCAGGACAGCAGCGGAAGATAATGGTGGGCCCATGCACAGGATCGACCCAGAAGGGTCGACCTGCTCTGATAGCATGTTAGAATATGGGACGAATGAATGAAACAGAGAAGAGAGGTTTCACTAGCAAGCAGTTGAGTACATATAGCAAACCCTAGATTGGGCTGTACTCACTATTGAGTACCCCACTGCAGGCTAGACAAACATAACATTCTGACACCTAACATGACTACATCAGGCACCTAGCAACTCTGCAGCTAGCCTGGTCGACAGACAGCACAACATGGTCGACCGCCTGCCAGCGTTGCGTAGAGGAGCTGCGCCAGCACTGCAGAAGGGCGACCTGCCAACACAGCAGGTCGACGGTGTGCCAACGCCGCAGCAGAGCGACTGTCCAGCGTTGCCCCGTAGAAGTCAGCAGTGCGCACGCTCGCAGATGCGCGCAGACGATTGGCCCGACTTGCACCGTTGTGCATTCGTCGGCTGTTGTCTGCGCCTGACGAGCCACATCGACTTCAGGATACCA